GAAGCTCATAATACTTGGCACCTTCGTGCGAAGTTTGGATTACCGCAGTCCCCACGAGATTCTGCACTGAAATGCCCACCTCGCAGGTATAGCGCCGAGAATAGTGATAATTAAGAGAAGGGATGAAAATGGATTTCTCAAAAAGGAATTGAGCATGATGGTTTCTAAACGAGAATGGTCCGAAATACCGACAAATTCACTGATGGCATGTCAATGACCTAAATGCTTCTTGGCAGCCTATGGAATCCCCCCCCTCAGACACGTCAACTTTTTGGAGCGTTATGAAACCACAAGGATCTGTCGTAAGATCAGAATAGCGCGAGTGGGGGTGCCCCAATGGGATCTGGAGAATCTCACCCAAATAGGATAAGAGAGCTCAAGCACTGCTGGTTCCTAATTAGTCCGAGGCGAGGGTTTCGGTGGTGGTCTAATCAACGACCTCTGCCATAAATACCTTCATCAAGCTCACTGAGACGGAAAAAAGCGCTGAAGGAAGAGCGATATGGCCAGATCCGGGGGGGGGGGAGATTCATTAGCAAACTTGCGATGTCTACTCTTCGTTGTGTGGTTCTCGACGTTTTATGGTCGGTCGTAAATTTTGTCCAAATGAAATTTTCTGCCCTCAAGCCGATGATTCATCTAATGAATGTATTTGTGGATCCGGACTGGAGCAGCTCATGGAAATCTTAGCACGATTACGGACGCCGGGCTCTGTTCTAATAAGAAAAATTCATGCGGAAATGAGCTCGGGCAAGCAATCTATCGCAGCTTTAGCCCCTGCAGGGCCGCCGATTAATGAACAAACGATGGACGATGTTTAGTGAGTACGAGGAAGAATGAAGGGACAATTGTGAACTGTAGGAAGTGACCTGGTAGGGGAAGATGACAAGAGGTGGCTTTTTGTGATGTCCGAGTCGGCGCCAGCCATAAAGGCCAGATGCGAGAATGAGAATCGGCTCGTCGAATGACCGCAAAGCCAATGTTCTGTCGCGCTTCCTCCCACAAAAACCTATAGCCCCTGATCTGATACAGCGCAACAATCCCGTAGTGGAGTCAGGGGCGGATCCTCCAGGGACCTAAGTACATACTGATAGCCATCGAAAATAGTGCAATAATGTCGACAGAGGGGCAGACAAGCGATCCCTGTCGGCCAATGATATACGATAGGGCGGTAAAAACTGACGGAAACAATGGAGCCATGAAGTGGGAGGCGGCTGTGGCGGATTTAGTGGTGCTTGTGTGGGATGAACACAATCTGCGTGAGCCGCCATGACCACCATTGCCGGCGCTGGTCCAATGAGGCGTGACCCGCATTATATCACTTAATCCAATTCACTATGCAACAGCTACTCGCACAATAATGAGTCACATAAATTTGCTCCCAGCCATCGGGACCCACTTTGCCCTTATTTGGTCCTTGCACTTGCCTTTCACGTAAAGATGAGCCGCTTTCGAATGCACAACGCCTAGGCTGTTCCTTGCCACACATTCGTACTTGCCCTGGTCTTCCTCGCGAGCCTGTTGGATCATTAAGGCACCTGAAGAAGGCGTTTATTAGGGAGAAAAAGTTAAAAACGAGGTTTTTCCTCATTCTTCCCATGAAAACTCCTACCTGGATTCCCCATCGTGGAAACGGAATAGCGTCCATCGGCTCGTATGTCAATGGGCACCAAATCTCGTAACCATAGCACTTTCGGTCGTGGATCACCTCGAACCTAGAAAACGCTGGATATTTTTCGCTGCATGTTACAAAGTAATAGCCAAATTGCAAAATATAGGCATGAAATATAGAAAAATAAATAGAAAGTAAATAAAAATGAATGAAACATTTCCGGAGCAGATAAAAAATAGATCAACAATAACTAAAAGCAGATAAAAAACAAAATTTAGTGCACAGTAAGTAAACCGAAATGTTGAAGATATGCTTTGTCAAGGGCAGAAGGGAAAATCTTTTCGGTAAGCGCAACGCAACGCAACGTTTCCCATTAGTATGGAAAATATTTTGAAAGTGAGAGAGAGGATTTTGATGTCCAGGTTTTTAGGTCAGTGCTCCAACCCTTTCCAATGAAAAAAGTCGGTGGCTACCCCACCCTTGTTCTGGCTACCCCACCCTTCAAAATTCAACTAGTCTTCAACCGAAAATTCCGAATGTGGAATTGGCGCTGTTTAGTTTGGTGGGGGCATTCTTGTTCCCATCTATAAATGCCAAACCTCTCGTGGAGACCTGTGAACTCCTGTAAATTTATGCAATAGAACGAGTTTCGTTTGCACTTGACAAGAGTTTACAGGTCTCACCAAGGTGAAACGTGTTAGTCATGAGGAACTACACAGCAACAGAAACTAGCAAAGTTGCAGAATATTCCTTTCCCTTAACCGAACAGCGCCGTGGATTCGACTAAATCTTGCTCCTGGGGGCGTAGCACCTCTGAAGTGCATTTGTTTGGAGCAAAAATGCTCTTCCACGCGCCACACACGCCGGCGTAGGGGACCATTTTTGACGCTGGCCGCCGTAATGAACGCAAGAACGGGGCGTTTTCGCGCCAAGAAAGTTCGTGCTCAGGATAGAACTAATCGTAGCCGGACACTCCAGCCAGAGTTTTCCCTGTAGAAAATTCCGACGAAAGCCGCTCTGTTCCCCGAGGAATGGGGCGGTAAATCTGCTGATCCAGAAGAACTCAAGCTGTGTCAGAGGCGATAATATCCACACCTACCAGAGAATGACGCGGCGCCTCCCTCCGGCGCTCATTTTATGTGTAAGAAAGGGTTATGTATTCGCGCGTAATAGTATGGCACTCATGAACACATGTGCCGTAACAGTAGAGAGCGGCTTCCAGGGCTGGGACTCGTAGTCGGAACAGAACTGCATGCACTCAGAAGGGAGAGACTTTCAATGACGCAATGGTTCGTAAAGGGTGGAAAAGCAGTTACGAAGTAAGGGCGGAAGAGAAACCAAGAAACTGACCCATCGTGGGGCCAGGATCGCCTCAGACATTGGTGTTCGCTAGACAGTTCACCTGACAGGTAGTTATCACAGGAATTAAGAGTTAAGCCTACTAACTTTATAAAGGGTACCGCCTGACAATCTTGTTCGCCAGGAGTAAGTTATATTTGACTGTCCAACGCATCATATTCTTTATTCCATCGCAGTTACTGCTCTTTCTTTAACATTTCCTCCTCTCCTATTGCGAAACCTGCTGATTCACACATATAATTTGCATGAAAACACATTCTCGTTATACGCAAGTTTATATTTTACATTTACTTCAAAGTTGATCGAAATTCTGGTTCGATGCGGAAATGCCTGAGAGCGTTTCGAATGAACGGATAAACTTTGTAGCAACAAGTTCGAAATTATATCATTCTACGAGTACAAGAAGTTGTTACTTCCGTGCAATACACCCCACAGAAATCCCAACGTGGATGTATAAAACCAATGAAGGAAGTAAGTCTGGTTGCGCAGGGCATTCCGCTGGATTTGGCTTTACAGCTTGAATCGGCCTACGGAACAGTTTGGGATAGGGTGCAGCTTGAGTACGGGTGAAATGGCGTCATCAGTCACCCCCTCTGGTACGAACCCTTTTTAGAAGCTACCTATCATCTTACCAAGTCCTTCCAACTACCTAGTGAATTTCCAGAAATATTGAGCCCATGAAAAACCGTAACTGGCGCGATGGGATATATAACATATGCGAAGAGGGAAAA